AGTAGTATGCATTTTTACCATTGATTCTGACTGCCTTTATAAATGCAAATATATTTTACGGAAAACCTACACGAAAAAAATATTTCTTGTTTTCTTTTTCTAGCAGACTACGCCTTCTTTAAACATTATATTTCCTATAATTTATGGACTTTTTTACGATTATGAGGTATTCATTGATTCATTCATTATACATCACATCCGTCAATTTGTTAATGATGTTTATAATGTATGCAGCACGCTCCACATCTGCTGCAATATTTTATGAGAACTATAAGACTTCTTCCTCAAACCGTAAGCTAAAAACTTGCTTGTCCTTAAACAGAAGGTACACAGCGCACAGTTTGTAAACCTTGAATACAAGCGTAGCAGTCACTAGGTTTCAAAATTATTCGGCAATTTAGAAACTTTTTTGTAAACCGAACGATACCCTTTGTTTAAGTATAAAATTTAAAGAAGGCGTAAGTTGCTACCAATCGGGTGCAAGAAATTATTTTTTCATGTATATTTTCCATAAAATATATTTGAATCTATAAAGGTGGTCAAAATCAATGATAAAATTCATACTTCTTAAGTAGAAACCTTTTACAGTACATAAGTTTTGTTAGCTGTAAAAGAGAAGCTCGCTAAAGAGCCGGCATCCTGTGGGGACTGAAAGGACTTCAGAATAGACTACAGGATAATCAGTATTACAACCTCATTCAATAACAATTAGCGAAAGAGTATCAGTCTTTCGTATATATCGGCATGTTACACGAATTCTGGGCCCTACTGTATTTGCATTGCGGGCCGTTGCTTGTAGATATGTACCACGGCTAAAGGAATTTGCAAAATATCTCAATAGTAGACAGTTGGCAGAGCTTTCAATTCAAAGGAGAAAATTATAAAGAAAAAACTAGAACTGGTCTAACCGTTTTTGTTCCTCCTCAAGTCGCATGGTCATGTTCTCCAGTTCAGCAATGTTAGACTCGCACTCCGCCTAAAAATGTCGACACAGAGAAGGAGGTCAAGCGTAATTGAAACCATGATGAAAGAAAAATTAAATCACCAAGAAGAACTTGCCAAAAGCTATACGCAGTTGTTAAACCTCAGAGTCGGTTTATTTGGGGGTCAGGGCTAGGTTCATTAGGCAGGGAAATCCAACAACATATTCGGTTACATTCTCCTTCAATAGTATTACGTACAAGCTAATCCAAAAAATAGTTCAGCCCCGTCATCTTCAATTTCCAAAGGCAACGCAGAACTCAGTGTTTCACCCAGTTTCGCAGTCGTGGAGCAACTTGTGAATTACCGATCAGGAAGTCAAGTTAGGCGAAGGACTGTTTTAAATTAAATCATCATCAGACAATACAATAATATAAGGTAAGGTGGAGGCAACAAAAGTTTAAGCAACCAATCAATAGTGATTAGGGGGAAAGGAAGAGAGGTGTAAAGGGATCAAGGGGTCTGATTATAGTCTTAATTGGGGATCAGTGAGGGGAAAGGGTGGGGGAGGAGGGGAGTAGATGGGGTCTTTCGTCCCGTCGTCCTTGGCTTGCGTTTTTTTGGAAGGCGTGAGAACGCAAGGTGTCATCATCTCGTNACGGCGTGAATGGCCCGGGGATGCTTCCTACCGCAGCCTCTTCACTGTTTCGCGGCGTGGTAAGAAGCGTGGGGGCGGATGTTGAGTTAGCC